TTTTTTTCCCGTAAAACACATCAAACATATGCGTACTATATTTCCATTGAATGAATTTTCAAAGAATATACTATAAATATATTTTTGATTTTGATTAGAAATAAAATTCTGCATAAAACTCAAAAGTTTCAGGACGATATTGTCCTTAGAAGTACTTTTAAAAATTAATTTGTCCTTCACATCACACCAAACACATACACACGATTTTTCAGTAAGAAAAAAAAAGGAATATGTCCCACAAATTTTTTTTTACTTTTTATTCAGATTAATAAATAAATTCTACTTAAAAAATAAATATTTCCAGTGTGATATTGCTTTTGGAAGTAATTAAAAAAAATTAATATATCAGGCATCCTTCACGTTACTCATACGCTCCATAATACCATTAAATCAATTTTTCAAGTAAAATAACACAAATATTTTTACTTTTTATTTCGGAATTGAGTTTCTCATTAAATTCTATATAAAATATTAACATTTTAAAGTAGTTCCGCATTATCCATTTTTTTAAATTACGGATTTTAACATATTATGGATATTTGGCAATATGGCGCACAATTTTTTTTTGAGTTTGAAAATTCTTCCACTATTTCCATGTCTATTTTAAATAAGTTTCCAGTCATAGAACATGAAATTTTGTGATAATAAATCAATTTATGGGACATTTGACATTAGAATTTCAGCAGTTCGAAATTTTAAAAGTATGCCATATAAACACATATTATACACTCGCTCTATAAAAAATTGAAACTAATTACTTTTGTAAATAATAGAGAAAAATGGTTCTGATTCATTAATTTATACGGTTGCTATACAGAGTAGAGCGAGAAAGTTAACTTTTATTTTGTAAATGTTTTTCTAGAGCATTCCTCTGAGGTCACTGATGAGGTAGTATTGAAGGCAAGTTTGATCTGGAGTGAAGAGATTGTTCGAAGCGCAATGTGACCATCGTTATTATGGAGTTGTGGTGTATTGTACCTTCTTATTCTTCAACATCTGTAATTTGTTATTGCGATTTTATCAGTAAATATTATATCACATGTATCTCAACATAGAGATGTCATAACTTTTTAGCTGATTACAAATTTAATCCAAGTGTATGAAGAAGTTTAACTTCCTATGCCGATATTTTCAACCATTGCTCAAAATAATCAAAACGTTGCTACTTCTAACAGACCGTTAAATTATGACTACACAACTTGTAAGGGCTGTCTCCTTAAATATTTTTGTAAAATATAGAGAGCAGGCTCTTTAGGTGTTAGTAATATTCATTTTTATTCGAATACGAATTAACTAATATTAACTAATATTAACATTAATTTAAATTTCAATTCTCGAGAACAGAAAACAATTTTGTGAAGTGACTTCAATGTTCAATTGAAGTCCGTACGACATAGTTTTAATTCCCCGAACAACACATCAAGACATTGTTTTGCTGTAATGATATTTTTTTATACCTAAAAAGATTGTTTAATTAACATATAAAACTTCTTTTCTATGCATTATTTAGAAAATGTAGAAAGTTGTTTCTCAAATTTTAATATATATGAAGCCTGGTATGAAGGTGATATGAATTCTTTTAGGGGCTCCATCTATATCACAGATTGGAACCAGATCATCTATTATAAAGTTTAGTGATATTGCAACTTGTAACCTGTATGTAGGTTTATGAGTTAGAAACTCGACCGTTCTGTTACATCTGTAAATTTATCAACAAATTGTAATTGATCAGAATAATTAGAATCATCAGAATAATATATTATTTTTAAATAATTTGTAAACAAATCACAACCACAAAAATATGAAAAATAATTTTATATTTATTTTTGAAATTTAACAATTAAAAAAAATTTAACAATTAAAAAAAATAAAAAATATAATTAATTAATTAAATTATTCTACAGCTGGTTTATGATTTCGTTCTAATATAAACACAGCAAGTAAATTTGTTAATAAAACTTTCATAGCAAAATAATAAAAACTTCAGAAAAATCAGCGAACATAAAAAAAAGTCAAGTATGGCTTTGGGTTAGTTGGTTAAGGTGTACTGATTCTGTGCTGCACATAATTGATTCTGTGCTTCATAATTATTTACGAATAAATAAATATAAAAAATATTTCTGAAGACCACTGATGATGGGTATTTGGCAATACTCGAAACACCTGTATGGTCAGCCAAAAATTCAATTAATTAAAATAATATAAACTGAATTTTTGTTGTTGTAGTTCACTACTGTTCGAAAAAACCTCTTTATTTATTTTTCATAATTTTTTTTTTGTTTAATTCAAATGGAATACATAAAGTTTTAAAATAAATAAATAAAACATTCTTTTCAGTTTTCATTTTTATCGAATGAACTCTGAACTGTAATTTAGGGCTATTTGAAGTGAGATTCAAGGCTCATACACCCATTTTCATATTTTATTTCTGGATATATACTTGCCATATAAACTAAGGGCCATGTTATGCAGAGTGTCTCGGGCACGGCATGAGTAAAATTAATGTTGTTTTCAATGCAAATATTTAATTTGAAAAGGAGAGAAAAAACAATATGGCCGTTGAAACTCCAGCATGAGACCCGCCGTATTTGTGCCTCGGCACTTAGGCAAAATGTTGTTGTTTAGTAATAAATTTCAGAATTTACTCCTTTTAGGAGCAAAATTCTTTGATTTCAATACGTTTTGGAGAGAAAATGGCAGTAAGCAACACAGCCTATTTTATAAACTGCTAATAATTTAATTATTACAATTTCCGATTTTAAAGAAAGGCGTATAATTTTGTAAGTACTGTTAACAATTATTGTAAGATGATATAATAATAAATTAACAGTATTATAGCCTCTATGAATTTTTTCTTTTTGTTTATTTTTTGGCAAATTGAAACAGACCATATCTACATTTCCTTTTAAATTTAGGCACTACCAAAAAGTACCAAAACATTGTAAAAAACGAAATTGGCAATACTTATGTGACACTCTGCATAACATGCATTTTCGGCTTAGCCGAAAGAGCGAATTTGGCCGTGCCAGAGACACTCTGCATAACATCCCAGTAAGGGTATAAATTTATTTACCAAGATATTTAACTTTAGTATGAACAGGGTCGGTCAATTTGATTTCATGTTTTTGAATGGTATATTTTTTTATTTGAAATTGAATTTTGTTTAACCAAAAATATGTCCACTTTTAGAACGAACTTTATCTATGCGTAGAACGACGATTAGCATGCTTCACGAAGATGAACCTAACGATTCTTCATTCAACTGAACTGGTTACTGTTCCATATCAAAAAGCAAATCGGGTTTACAGCTAGTGACTGTGAAGACCATCGTACGGTCGCAATGAAATATAGCACATTGTGTTTCAATCTTTGTTGATTAACTGAGGTGGTTTGCGTAACGGTGTATTCTCTCTCACTGGAATTTTTAATTGTTCATACATTTAGAGCGCCTTTTCATTGTAGAGATTTACATTAACCTTAATACTACGACCTGAAAGAATGACCATAGTTACATGGGTTAGCAATCATCTAAATTTTTATATGATTCTTCTATTAAGTACACTCGCTCATTTTATAAATTGATCAAACGGAAAACTTTATGAATTAGAGAATATCCAGCAATTGGGTACGTTCATGCTATCGCAACAGGTCCTTCCTTCAATCGACATTTGTGAAATTTTGTGTAAGTTGGAACTTGTAAGGCCTCACTAGAAGCTTGTTTTTATGTAATCGTTATATAATTGTTTTTGATACATTTTACTGAGCAAACATTTATTTACTACGGCAGTGTGGATTACGTTCAATTCAAACATAAAATTTTCTGAACGACCTTAGCCTTTAGTTTTTTTCGGATAACTTCGGCACAACATCTTGAAATCTTTGGCTGTTAATAATTTAAATTAAACGTGCATTTCACCGGACGGATTTAATTTGAATATGAAAAAGAACATTTACGATTGTTTGATGAATAACTTTTGTTAGGAAAATAATAATATCGATTAAAATTATCTATACTTGCTTGCTATTTAATAAAATTTGCCATAAGTTTTGATAACACATTATATGAATTTACTTGAACTGTGATTGTTAGTAGATTATCTACGGGAATGTCTCAACTTCCGCTACTATATCAACACAACAAGTCGATCTGAGGTGAAAAAATATCGTCTCGGCCTGAAAGCGATGAAGTTTCTAGTTACTTCCTTTATAAGTGATCGGCTTTTATCAAGGTTAGAAGGGGGATGTTAAGGCGGGAGTTTCTGATCCCGTCTGATATTAGTATTTCAAAGGACTCGACAGATTGAATGTCTTTTACTTTGGTTAGGGTTAGGATTAGTAGTTTTAGCATTTCCACCACTATAGTTTGTAACTATAGTCGAAGTGCTCTGCTGCTTTTATATTATAATGTTCTACTCTATTTTATTCTATAAACAATATACGGAGCATTTCCTGCTCAAAACTGATTTCACACAAATGTTAACAAATTTTGCAAAAAAATTAATTCAAACGAAAAGATTGTTTTTTTGCCGAGAGTGACGCGTCTTATAACGAAAAGAAACTATTTTAAAAATTAGACGATTTCGAATAGCAAAGATAAGACAAAGACAAAAATTTTGGTTAATATATTTAAATTTGGCTGACCATACAATGCTGTTGAGTATTGCCAAGGACTCATCATCATTGGTCTTAGGATACATTCGAATTTCTTTTTAATAATTTAAACTTCATATTTTCTTAAATTGATTAATTAATTAATACTGTGTGTTTCACTGTTATTTACTGTACTAAGAAAATATCGCATATGATGAATTAAGTGGTACATCACTTTGAATCACTTCTCTCCACACTTGTATATCAATTCCCGGGTATGCACTGTATCCTTTAAAATATAATTGGCAGTGCGTAGTATATTAATTAAAATTTACTTATGAGCCATTTTAATAAAAAACTTAATGTTTATTTATCGCTCGTTAAATTAAAAAATTTATTGTAAACCTTACCTTGTCATAATAAAGTCGCATATCCCACTGAGAGTTAGTTTCTTGTGCGGCGATTGTAGAATTGCCATTGTGATGAGGGCAATATACGAATAAGGTGGCTTTACAAGAGGTGTGTTTGGATTTTCATTTGACGTTTCTCTTGTGTTTCCGATATTGTTTTCGGATTTCGCGCTCGTATTGGTTGATGGTAATACATTGGAGGCGGGTAACAATTTAATTAGAGGCGGAGACTGTGAAGTGTTATTGTGCATTACTTAACACTAAATTGAATACTAATAAACGATTAAATTACATAAGCTATTGTAAGTGGAAGTATAATCGTAAGTGTATATCTAAAGTTCATTGCCGTTAATATCCACACATTGGTGAGCAAAAAAAATATAATAATTTTGTTATATAGCTTTTGTATTCCGTAGATTTTGGATGTATAGATGTTACTGTTTTGTTTTTTTATACATTCACTCTTCACCAAATTACACAAATTAGGACGCCAGATATTTGAAATTTAATTAATTAGTTAAATATTACAAAATGTTATGTAGGAACTAAATTGCAGTTTAAGAATTTTATTAACATTGTTTTGTAGCCTCATAATATTATTTTTCTTAACTTTTTATATATTTGTTGTACTGTTTTCGTAACACGAATATTTCGAATTAAAAAATATATCTTTTAAATAAGCAACTTTAGCAAGATTTTTCCAAAGCATCACACATAAAATTTTATTGTATATACACGCATGTAAGACATTTTAATAATGACTTGTTAAAACACTTCCTGCATATTGCTTTTTCCGTCCGTAGCAAACGAGATGTTTAGGCTAAATGTTAAAGTATTTGCAATGAAAACGAAGCGAAAATCTTTTGTACAAATTATTATTCTATATAACTCAAACATTTATTTATTAAAACCGCGATTCTGTATTCATCTAGTATAGTCACCCATTCAATGTTTTTGTGTCTCGGTTTCGATTTCAATTTTATTTTCAGGGTAGTCCAGTTTGTTGTTATCCACCACCATATCATCTTTAAACAAATGTTTTCATGGTTACCGTAGACAAGGAGAGTACTATACACATTTCGCCGAGCTGAAACGATGTAAATGTGTTGAGTTCCACCATGAACATATTGTAATGGGTGTTAAAACAAGTTACCTGGTGTTCAGTTGGGATGCTGTTTACACCCAATGGGATGAAAACGTAACCGATTTCTAAGCCAAAAGAGAGTTGATGCGCTTAATATTGTACACACTTTCCCACTTTTCCACTGTGTGACTGTGTGAGTAGTGAAGATACAAATTATAACAGGAGATACTTTATCCGAAATAAGCTATCAATCGTTAAAGAAAAAAGAGCACAATTTTTGATTTAGGGGATGATATTATTATCATCATTCATTGCTAGTTATATAACGAATTATATAAATATGTAGGCAAATATTTCAGATACACAAGCACTATATTACACAATATTGTACTCATATATCTCATAAAACAACCTTAATTTGTTGTTCAGTTAGAGATTTTGATGTCAATTCGTTTATATTATTTTATTAGTTGATAATTAGTTGCAAGCTACATTGCAAAATTTTTCGACTCAACTCTCGCCAGTATTGCAATTGTGCATATACTTATTAAGTTGGCTTTTATAATATTATAAAATTACATAATAAAGAGGAAATTTAAGATATTTTTTACTTTATGTACAGCGTGCTTCGTTCTAAAGTGCATTTACTTCGGGAATTGATTTTTTGGCTTAAGATATAAAAAAAAACATATAACGGTGGCATTAACTGAGATACAGGGTATCCATTTAAACCCTTACATCCTTCAGTCAAACAATCCTGAAACAACTCAGTCAAATAAAAATTATTTCAGTTTTTCATTTATTGAATTTTCTTTAATATGATGCATAATATGTTTAATCGGTTGATTTAAAATTCATTTTCAGTTAATTTTTCCAGAAAATGTCATTTATAAATTTTTTTTTTGTTTTTTTGTTATGTCAATACACATACACAATCAATGTGAAAATTTTTTATGAAAGAATTTTCCATTCACAAAGCTCAGTTTTCCTGCTTTCGGGTTTTATCTATCAGCTATCTGCTGTTTTTTTTTTTCACAAATATATACAAATTTCCTTATTTATACTTACGTGCCTAATATATATATTTTTATGATTTATTTAGAATCTTTATTATTATTATTATTTTTCATTGTAGAATAAGAAAATATCAAATATCAATTTGCAGAAAACGAAGCTATGATTCAAGATACGTCCTTTTACCATATTTCAATTTTTGAAAAGTTGAAATAAATTTTAATTTAATTAACAAAACCAAAAGAAAAACTAACATATAATTAATTATAACGTAAAGAAAGAAACAAGAAACATATTATATTATAATAGGTATGCAAAGGATATAAAGTAAATTTATATACTTAAATAATTTCGTCATTGAGACTAAGACTAGATAAACTAAATAACTAACTTTTAATAACTAATGTATGATGAATTATTTGGATACGCACTTGATGAGAAATCTCAAATTTTTTAATGAATTAATAAAAAAAATAATTGAATAGAAAGCTTATTAGGAGGTTCTAAGTCTAGAGGTACAACACATATTAGTTGGTTCATATTACCTGAGACGTAAAGACTAGTGTTCAGATAAAAACATAGGTATTTTAGAGATTTTTATTTCTGACCTATTGCTTTTCCTATGGCAGAAACCATAGGTAATTCTTCTACGGTTATTTTTTTCTCTCTTAATAGGCATAATAGTTTTATTTAACAAGATATTGTTTACCACACTCAGAAAAATAATTTGATTGGTTTGACTAGATTTTAACTAAATCTCAGGTCAAAATATTTTTACTTGACGCATCATGTTGATTCAACCATACCAGATAATTGATTGGTTTTCCTATCTTCTTTACCAGATAAGTTAAAAATTCTCTAACAAAACGATTAAGTCAATTTAACTAGTAGGTTTGTGGTTAGAGCATATTTTTCTGAGTGCATTTCCCGTGTGTAAAGCTTAAGTACATTAACATCTAAAAGACATCTAGAAAATAACAGCTAGAAAGACACATTTACATATCATCCGCTTATTCATGCAGTGTCACGTATTTATATATAGTAAATATATATTCTAATATTGACTTTTAACGAACCCCCGTAGGAAAGGCTTACTCATTAGCTAAATCTACAGACTGAGATCTCGCGGTTAAATTATTTAAAACAAACTTTGAAGCTGAGTTAGAGAACCAAAAAAATTAATTAATTTCTTATAGAATAGTAAGTGATCAACACGATCACGCAATTATGTAGTAATCATAGCTATGTCAATTATGATTGTCATTTAGCTGTACTTACTAGCTTAGCTGCTAAGCTTATAGCTAATACAAAAGGCATTCAGTTACATGGTGCAGAATACTTTTTCCATACAGCGTGCTTTTCGTTTTTATTATTTACTTTTATTTTTCCCTTATTTAAGATTTAGTCAAACACAGGAGGAATAACTGATAGTAAAAATCTAAATAAGAGGAAGATGATGGGAATAGTTACTAGATTCATAGTTAAATGTATTCAACTTATTGTTGAAAGTTGAGCAAACTTAGATTCATTTTAACCAGCGGTACTAAACTTATCGAATTATCTATACGATTTAATTAATTTTAAATCCCAAATGTAAAAGAACTTAAAAAAAAATCTCAAAAGGAAGATGTATATAACTTATTTTTCATGATCGGAAACAAAAGAGATTTAATCGAATAATTATATTTTTTAGAGTTTGTTGCAGCAACTATGTCGAAGAGATTATATCATACATTCTTTCAATATATAGTTAGTACAGTTCAATTAATAACACTTAATTCTGTTATATTTTATACAACCAACTGAGTTATATATTTATATATAAGTAAAACGATATGTCTTATGACAGCCTGACTTCGACTAACTCTCTATTTATTCAATATATAATATGTATTACAACTAATAATTACAGAGTTGTAATTATACTACTTAATTATACAACAAATTCCATAATGGCTAATTGGTCCTTTGTTTTATTATTATTATTATTAATGAAAGCCTAAATTGAAATCATCAAGTACGACAAGAAAAAAAATTTATGGGCAACTATGTGGTGCTACAACAGGGGATCACAGGCGAACCGTTTGAATATATTCGTCTAAAGTTTTTACTTGTACAACATTTTACCTTAAAATAATGCATATTTTATATATACTACGAGTATATACATATAGCACAAATAACTCAAATAATACATTTTGTTTTTTATTTTAATATGCAAATATAAATGTTTTCTTGCCTTTAAAATGAAAAACTCAAAAATAACTATTATTTTTTGCAGGCAAAACTAAAACGCTCTGTGTGCAACTTATTTTAAAAAAAAAATATAAGTTGCAAGCTGGGCATTTTATTTTTAAAAACATCAAAATAAAACGCATTGTGCGTGTGGTGGTTGTTATTGTAAGCTCACATACAAAATGTTTGAAACGGCTGGTGTAAGTAATATTCTTTGGTTTAAAGTATTGCAGTTAAAAGTCCGATCTTGTATTTTATTAAATTTAAGTAAGGTGTATGTAAAAATTTTTTAAAAAAATCATAAAATAAAGTTTTTTATCAAGGTGAACGGATGCCTAGGGAAGAAATATCGCCTTTTTGGCTGGTTGCAAAATAAATAAATTAGTTCAAATCAAACACTAGGTCTAATTCCTTTTCGAAATTCGGTAAAATATCAGTGTGTATATTATTAAATTTCATTATTAAAATTTTAAATTTAAATTGTTTGGCAAACTAAATACAGAAATATTGATAGGAAGGCTCTCAATTGCATCTTAAACCTAAAATTGTACTAACCATTTTAGATTAAGTGAACAATAAATTTTAATTTTTTAGTACAGAATATTATATGTTATTATATAATTGTGTCATTATTAAATAATTTATAAAAATGTATTTTTTGTATTTTTTTAGCACCAAACACAAAAACCAGTCAGACTGTCCAGTTCTCATCCGCTTTTTTAAAAATATATATAGTGCAGACAATAAAGAAATTGATTTAGAAATTTTATCTGAATATTATAAAAGCTTGTAATAATTTTTATAGATTTCTAATAAATATCATAAATTTTTTTCAAAAGTGATAATTTTTTAATTTTTCCATTTAATTATCAAAAACTACAAATTAGACATAAGTTTTTAACATGCTAGTGTAATCTATAAAAAAGTGGTTTTTGACTGAATATACCACATTCATTGAAGAATTTCCTATCTATTCATTAATATAATAAGCCGTGAATATTTTTTTTTATTTCTCATAATTTGTTTTTGCAACAATATGTATATTTTATATGTATGTAACATATATTCATAAGTTATAAATCAGTTCATGTAATGTTTTCGGTCTGACTCTGAAAATGTGAATGTTTTATATGTACATATAGGTCTTT